CTGACCAGCAGCGGCTGAATCAGGGACGCCTGGGGCAGAGCCGGACTATCGTAAGGGGGGGCTATGAGGGGTCTGGGGTGGCATCCCCTCCCAACCCACTCCAGACCCCTCATAGCCCCCCCTTCTGATAGTCCGGCATATTTGATAATCCGGCACCTCCTGGGTCCTAAAGGTGCCGGATTATCGGAAGTTTACTGTATGTATATCTGTTAAAGCAGAGGCATCAAGTACATTATCTAACTGCACACTTAGTACTGAATGGGAGTATATAGCAGTATGCTCTTTAAAGTAGATCATCATTGAAAATTGTCAGTCTAAGGCTCAACATTTTAATTTAATTATTCCCTATATTTTTCAGTAGAAGAAAGTCTCTTACTGATGGCTTACTTTGTTCTTTAATCTAGAAATGTGTACCATAGAAATTGTATGGAAGGATTCAAACATAATGCATCTTTGGTTTGCTGTTTTATTTATCCATTTCATAGATATTAAAATTATATATTAAGTGATGATTACAACAATGTATCACATGCTTTGCTTTGTTTGCTTTCTGGATAAATATGAAGTTACTTTAACAGCAGAACTCAAGGGATTTTGGAAGCATGTATATTATTTTTAATGAACTGATTTGAAAAATCTTAGTTTGTATTTGTATTTAAACTAAAGAAAAAATCTAGAACTTTGACAAGTTACATTTGAGTTACAAGTATTGTTGAAACACAGACTATAAAATTTCTCATATTGCATGATAGGAATTTTAGTTTGATGAACTGTCAGAATTGCACAGGAATTGGAGCACTAAGACTTTTGATTGCATCAACTTGTTTTCACAAAGTTTTCTCAAATATCCAATGTGGGATTCTAAGATTCTATACTTGGTCCATACGTATAGGAAAATTCTGAGCTTTAGATGATTCTAACAGTGAAAGGCTAAAGCGGCATAATCTCTAGTCAGCAGCAACCTATTTTAAACTAGCTATGTTAAAATGTGTTTAAGTAACTGGTTAACTGCTGAAAATTTCAGCCATACACACAGAGGCTGGAGGGAGGATTAATCATATACATGGTTACACTTTGTTAATATGATTGATTAATCATATACATGGTTACACTTTCAAATCCCAATTTTAAACAATGACAATCAACAACCTTATAATAAAGTGAAAGCTTTGTTATCCAGCACTCTGTCAACTGGCATTGTCCTTAGCCATAATACCGCCATGTGTTCAGGCCCTCTCACCTCACTCCCGCCCATCCAATTGGCCATTATGGTGCTTCTGACAGCCAACGCTGCCAGATGACATCATCATCAGGCATCTCCTTCCCCCTCATCCTGCCTCAAGCAACCGGGAGCTTGAGCTGTCAGTAAGGGGAGGAGGGGAAGAGGGGCGCAGAGCAATAAGCTTTGTTTATCAGACTCATTCAGTTAACTGTCAACCCCCATTCCTCATGAGTGCCGGAAAACAAAGCTTTTACTGTATTTAAAAATATGTTTGTAGTTGCTGTGTAATTTATACCAAGAAATTTGCTTATATTAAAATAAACATTATCAATGAAACCACTGAAGCAAAGCTCATTTGTGAATTCCAGAGACCCTTCATACAAATATTGTATTCCTTTCAAAACAGTTGTATATGGGGAAAGGGGAATAAAGCACATAAGGAGCAAGAAAAGGCTATCAGGATGTACCCAGTTAAACTCGGATGGCTGAAAGCGGAGACTGGACAAGAGAAAATGGATCACTCTATAAACAGCCCTGTTTTGTTCACTCCCTCTGAAGCATCTGGCACCATCCATTGTTGGGAGCCAGGATACTGGACTACATGTACCATTAGTCTGTCCCAGTATAGCCATTACATTCAATTTTTTGCATATCTTATAGTAAAATAAGTTTTGAAGAGATTTAACAAAATGAAGCAAACATCACTTTTTTTTTTTTTTAACTCAACTTCATAATCTACCAGCTATGGTCATGCTCAAGTATATCATTTTCACCAGCACTTGACTATGAGATGAGCTACTTGGAGTAGGGATGTAAGGGACTAGTCAGCTATCCGATAAGCATAAGCTTATCTGATCGTTGAGTAGAGACTCAACTAGTCACTTTCCCCCTCCTTTGCTGCCACTATCAGAGGCAGCAAAGGGGGGGGAGCAGGAGCCAGTGCTGTGGGGAGCTGGCTTAAAAGGAACAGAAGTTCCAGCATCGATGGAGCACCCTGAAATTCAAACTCCAGAAGACTGACTGTCACCAGGAAGTGAATACATGGCCTAACACAACTACTTCAGATTTCCCCCACCCCCCAAACTGTGGAGGTAAAATACCGTGAAAAACATTCCTTTTGCAAAGTTTTTAGCAGGCTGGCCAGCAGCGTGGCTCAGTCTTGGCTCACGCTGGGTCTGGGACCTACCCCCACTGTGGCTCTGCATTTGAAGTGCATTAGGAGTCATGTGGGCAGGCAGCCCGGCTCAGTTTTGTCTTGCGTCAGGCCTGGGCACTCAGATCACACCCCCCGACACACACATACAGGGGCTGCTGCCACCCTGTGCTGCTGCCTCTATATATGATCCATAGGGGAAGCTGGTTTTTAAACTGGCCTCCCTCACAGACCTCTCAAACAGAGACAGCAGCGTGGAGTGTCCGGGGCTCCTTGGGAGTGTGGCTGGATTGCACAGGATGCCAGCCCCACCCTTGGGACCATAGGATAGTTGAGTAACTGATAAGAATTAATGAGGTTAATTGACTATTCAATTAACACATATTTACTATCCCTACTTTGCATATCATCTTTTAAGAAGCAAACCTGTTAAAAAAATAAAATTCTAAACATAGCAAGATTAAATAGGTTCCCTATCTGTATGGAATAGGGAACTGGTATTCCTATAGAAAAGGTAAAAAAAAGTCCTCTACAACCTAAATTAAACTTGGCTTTCATTTTACACACACTTTAGCAATTCTTCCCCCATCAATACATTACCTTTTATCAACAACCAGGTAGTACTCCCTTCACAGCCCATATGCAAAATCTGAGTTACCAAAGGCAGAATGTGTTATAAATGAATTGCTATCTTAGGATCCAACAATCATTCCTTAAGAGGCATTTTCTGCCCATTTTTCCCCTCTCTCACCTTCCAGTTATTTATGTTACCTACGTACAACACTCATGGGCCAATCAAGGAAAGATTTTTACACGAGTTCTCTTCATAGAAGACAAAATTTTAAACTATAAACTTCAATCTAAATTAATTAAAAAGAGCTATTCAACAAACATAAAACTCAGAATTTAACAACAAATGCTAGAAGAGCAAGCCATAAGGCATATTCTCAGGTATCATATAACACTGCCTGTAGCTGAGGCACTGCAGGGAGTGCGGGACCAATGAGGGAGTCCCCTCCTGGCCCCCCGCTCCCTTCAGAGCCTCAGCCTTTGAAATGTACAAGAGACCCACGGCTCTTGTACATTTCAAAAGCAGAAGCCCGGGAGGGAGTGAAGGGCCAAGAGGGGACTGGCCCCACGCTCCCTGCAGTATCTGAGCCTTTGAAATGTATAAGATCCCCCAGGGGGCTCTTGTACATTTCCAAAGCAGAATTGAGGCACAAGTGGAGACTGCTTCAGTCCCCTTTTGCACTGTGTCCCGCTGTGCCTCTACCTCCCCTGCCTCCCACGGAGACGGTGCTGGGGGGAACTGGCTTTTAAGATAGCTCCCCTGAGCACCGGCTCCTGACTCCGTTGCTGCCTCTCTCTGATAGAAGCGGGGGGGAGGGGGAGGGGTACTTTAAAGGGGCAGCGCCACACTTTTCATAAATATCACAACTGTATTTAATAGAAGAATATTTGAAAAATGCTATACGTGTCAGAATATCAAGCAAAGAGGGATACTGAGGTGTAAAGCCACATACTCTTGCCACAGGAATGAAAGATCTATATGAATACTGGTCATAAACCTTTGTAACTGATTTACAAGAAGCATTCTCTTAGCTACTGGCTTAACTCCCAACAGCAAAGGTCTCATTAAAAGTAAAATTCATGGTGTGAAAGATACATTATTGTAAAGAACATCTGTAGTGATTTGTATTAGGAAGTGGTGCATAATGAATTACAATGAGGTTCCCAGCTTCATGAATTGTAAAACCTTATCCATTTAGTTAAGGTTATGGCTGTCTGCAGCTACATTCCAAGAGAACTGGTAAGTGTAAAGACTTACTGTCAAATTTCTCAGGTATCTCGGTTATGAATAATATAATGTAGGCCACCCATCAGGTGGAATACTGTTTGTTCTTTTACATACATACAAACACACACGCACTTAATATAAATATATAGAAACAGTAATATAGGTCATGTAACTTCAATTAGGGCCAATTCCGTCCTGACACACAGCGGCAACTCATTTGATAACACATTAGCATTGTGCAGGGTCAGAGTTTTTCCCCTTCCTCTATACTCTTATGCATGTTGCATTACCTTAGAATGGCATTCATGAGGTTCACACAAACACACTTACCGATACTGCATGATCTTTAGCTTCCAAACCAAAAACGTCCTGTCGTTTCACAGTCAGCAAATCAAGCTCTCTAAAGTCGTCGTCGTCGTCGTCCTCCTCCTCAAAGAAATTAATGGAGTCTGCCTTTGGAATCTTATTTATTGAAGAAACTTCTTCCTCTTCATAGAGTTCCTCTGACTTAATGCCCTCTTTGCCAATCACTTTACTGAGGAGATCTTCCTCTGTTTCTTTTTTTCCCTCTCCTTTGATTCTTTGAAGAGTAGACAACTTTTCATTAAAATCAGTTCTGCTTTCCTCCACCTCTTCATCACTTACTAAGGAACTTGTATCTTCACACTGCTCTGTCCCACTTAAGTGGCTTTTTCCATCCAATGACTCATTCACAGACAATTGTTTCTGGGCTTTTTGAAGAAATCTTACCCGAGGTGCAACTGCAAGGCCAAGGGAGCTAAAGCATGGGATTAAAAATAATAAAAAATTAATCTGAAACTGAAAACTATTCTACTAAATTAGAAGCAGGGGGTCTGTATTTAAATATTGATCATGTATAATGTATTTAGAAGAATCTCCTGCTTATTTTTTTTAATGTACACACAGAACTGGAGAGTCAAACTGCTGGAAAAATGCAATCCAACAGATACACAGAAAACAACTGGAAACATGAGGAGCTAATTAGAACAGCAATGCTCAGGAAAAAAAAGTTCTCCCAAAAGAAATCTGAAGTGGCAAATTAAATTACATTTACAATAAAACATGATGGTACAAATGACAATGCAATTTAGTACCGCAGAGGCAGAAAATTCATGTCACACACACACAAAGGAAGCAATGGCATTCATTATTGCTAAGACTAACTAAAATACTGTTCTCGGGTCTATGTACCTTAGTCCCAAAAAGACCGGGAAGAATTGAGCAAAGTCTAAGAAAAATTATTAAGGCCACAACTACACTCGAGACCATACACATGTCCACACATGAGCTTGTACTTTACCCCACCTATTGTGTGCCTCTAAACCAGGGGCAGGCAAAATGCAGCCCACAGGCTAGATCCGGCTCACCGACATCCCAGAGCCTAGCAGGAACCTAAATCAGGCTCTTTTCCTGTTGCACCTTCACATGCCCACTCAAAGTGACCGGCTGCAGGGGCCACATGCTCTCAGTGTGCAGCATGCTGGGGGTATTGCTCCCACCCCTAGTACAATCTCACAGCTCCCATATGCCAGAATGGGAGCTGCCTAGGCTGTGCTTGCACCACAGGCAGTGTGGAAAGAGCACATGACCCCTGTAGCAGTCACTTTGAGCACAAGCAGCAGGCAAGAAGCCTGCCCAAGAGTCCCACTAGGCTGCTGGCCAGATCCTGCACCTGGCACCCCATCCCTCCCTTCCCCCAACCCTCTGTCCCTCTCCAACACCTCTGCACCCTCACTCCTACACCCATAACTCCTTCCAGAGTTGCACCCCAAACCCGTTCCAGGTCACAGACCCTGCCCTAGGTCACAATCCAAACCACTGCACCTCCTCCTGTATCCCTACCCAGGTCACAACCCAAACCCTTTGCACCCTGCTCTTGCAGTCATACCCCCTCCCAGAAACTGCACCCTAATCTTCTGCCTAAGGCAATAACCCCCCCTGGGTTACAATCCAAACCTGTGCACCCTCTCCTGCTCCCCTTCCCCAGGACAGATTCTGCACCCCCTCCTCTAGGCTCTCTTCTGCCCAACCTCCATCCCAGACCACTTTCCAAATTCTTGGAGTGCCTACCCCTGATTTAAAGCCATAGAAGCACATGTCCAAAGACAAGTAGAAGGCAATTAAGCTAGCACATCAAAGAGGTGTGGGAAAGTACATGCTTCAGACCTGACCCTTACCCAATCTATACAGGTCCCAGTCCCCCCCACTCTCATTCACAGCAGCCAACAGTACTGATCACTACACAGTTGTATTCCACCACACTCCTTTGATCAGCACAGTTGACTACTGATGCTGCACCAAGAGCAGCTGCCAGGCTCACTAACCACTCCCGGTACTGATCAACATGTGGGTAGAGTACATCCTCCTCCACAACTTCATCCAAAGCAGCAGGAACGTTATCTATACTGGGAAGTTTCAGAGGGGCCAAAGGGCGCAGGTATTCACTGCATTCCATCCAATTGCAGGAAACATGAGGCATCTGAGCTACCAAAAGGTCCCCTGTCCCTTTCTGGATCTAGCCATCTTCAATAAGGCTTCTGTTTGTAAGGGGGTCATATGATTACAGTGGGTAGATGAGCAGAATATAGACACCGTGGAGTCTTCCATAAGGAAAGTAGGGGTGTTAGATAACATATATTTTACTAACTGTGTAGCTACTAAAATTTTATCAGTTACACAGTTACTAAAATACTACTGGGGGGGCAAGGCTGGAACCAGTGCACACTCAGCCCCACTCCTGCGTAGTCCCCCGCCAACCCACACTGCTGTCTCTTATACAGAGGCAGAAGCACG